CCCTCCTGGGCCGCCCCCTGCCACAGGCGGGCTGGTCACCCTCCCCCAAGTCCCCTCTCCCATCCTCGCCGTCGTCCTCGCCCTGCCTCTTGTGCGACACCTGCCCGTGTCCCTCCCCCCGAGGCGATGTTTGCTGCTGGACCTTTGGCCAACCAAATACCCGCCGCGAGATCCCTCCTCTCGTGGCTGCTGCTGGCCGTGCTCGTGCTGGCCCCCGGGCTACATGGCGCCGCCGGGCAGCCATTGCCTGGCGCCAGGTCGCCTGGCCGTGCCCTGGACGTTGCCTGCCCGAGGGACACCTTCGCCGATCCCGCGGAGCCGGGCCGGTGTTTACCGTGTGCGCCCTTTTGTGCGATCTGCACCGGTGGCTCTTGGGCCGATTGCGTGACCTGCAAGAGGGGCTTCTCGCTCGAGCCGATGGTCGGCTGCGTTTCCGGCTGCCCGGAGGACTTCTTCATGTCCGACGACCTGGCCGGGTGTGTCCCTTGCGCCAGCAGCTGCGTCCGCTTCAGTCAAGATGACCCGGGTGCCTGTGCCGCCTGTGCCGAGGACTTCTTCTTGGACCCCTCCTCCGGGCAGTGTGTGTGCACCTGTCCGGCCCAGTGGCTCGGCACCGGTGGCAAGTGTGTTCCCTGTGCCGAGGACTGCCACCAGTGTGTCATGTCGCCGGACAACTGCCACCGATGCCGCTGGGGCAAGTTCAAGACGCGCGGTCCGGCGCCGGTGCGCTGTGTCGACGCCTGCCCTCCCGGGGAATTCCCCCACGCGACCGGGCTCCTCGGGGCTACTCTGCAATGTGCTCTATGCAGTCCAGCCTGTGCCGAGTGCGATGGGCCCGAGGAGGACGCCTGCACCAGCTGTCCCATCAAGGATGGCGTCCAGTGGGTCCTGGCCGAGGAGGGGCTTGCGCGCTGCCTGGCCGCCTGCCCGCCGGGGCAGTATGCCGACGCGCGGGCCGTGTGCCGGCCGTGTGATCCCGCATGCGGGGGCGTCTGCGTGGGGGCCGGTCCCCAGGGTTGTGACGTTGGCTTGGTCCTCCCGCCGCCCCCCGGTGCGACCCCCTCCCCCTCGGCCCCGGGGGCCGGGTCTTCCTCGGCTTCGGCCTCCGATGCGTCGGCCTCCCTTGCGGCATCCTCGTCCGGCTCCGAGCCGGCCACCGGCCCGGGCACGGATGGAGGTGTGTGCCGCCCCCTGACGCCGCCCGTCGCTTCCCTCCCCCCCCCGCCCGGGCTCTGTCACGCCTCTTTACTAACCGTGGGCCCCTGCCCGGCTGCACCTCCCCGCCTCGCGCTCTTGTCTCGTCTCACCAGCACGCCTGCCCGTAGGAAAAGCCACCGTCATTATCATCATCATCATCGGCGTGAGCATCGCCGTGATCGGAGCCCTGGCGCTGGCCGGCGGAGTGTCATTCGCCCGAGCCCGAAGCGCACAAAAGGCCCCCCACGGGCAGTCTGACCCGGTGGAGCTGGGTTTGCTCGGGTAGGCCTCGGATCCCTCCGGCCTGGCGTCTCCGGCCTGGCGTCTCCGGTCATGGGTGTGCTGGTGTGCTGGTGCTTGTGCCCCTGCAGTTTGGACACGCCGCAAGGGTGCCTCAACCCGGGGGGACGCTCAAGTTGCCGCGTCCCTTTCCGCTCGCCTTCTGCCCCGGCCCACCCCCATGTCGACCGAGTTCCCCCCCCCCCCCCCGGTGCCGAGTGGCAGCGGGGTCGACCGGTCTCGCGCAATGTACCCCGGGAGGGGGATGCCGCAGGCAAGAGGCGGACACCGCTCCGATGATATAATACACATGTGGCCTAGGCCTTCCCTCGCGAGTGCGTGCGTGTCGGGCAGCGTGTCCTGTGAGAGACGCAAGCAGCAGCGCATTGGGCGATCGGTCTCGGATGGGGTCGAGGCAAATCCCGGCCGTCATGTCTGTCGAGGGGGGGGGGGGGCCGCCTTGCGCCTTGATTGGTTGGCAGGAGCAGGTCCACGCAGGCAGCCTGCCTCTGGGCGCGGCACCCCCGCACCGAGGGCGCACCGCCCTGGCGGGCGTCGGGCCGGCGGCGGAACGCAGCATTACCTGCTGAGAACTGGCCGAAAGGCATGTACGCCAGCGTGCACACGGACACCTGCATGCACCCGTGTTGGCATCCAAGCTCCTCGGAGCATGGGCCTGTGGTGCCTGCCGACTGGGGCCCGGCCGTGCCAGACCATCGGCGCCAGTCCGGTGCCACGCTGTTCTCCGGGTCTCCGGACCGGTCACCCACCGGCCCATCGGGTATCCAGAGAGAGACCAGCCCTGTCTCCTTCGTTCACTCTCTCCCGCTCTCGCGCTCTCTCTCTCTCTCTCTCTCTCTCTCTCTCTCTCTCTCTCTCTCTCTCTCTCTCTCTCTCTCGCGGTGTCTGTCCTTTTCGATGGCGCACCACCCAATGGTGGGCCAGCATTCCCCCATACGATGGGGGCCCCGGAATGCCCAGCTGACCGGAGCCTGAGATCCATGCCTGGGAAAAGCAATATTCCGTTATGCACCCGGACCCACGCGTGTCTCCTGCCCGACCAGGGGCCCAGACACAGGTGTACCGCTGCGGGCCGATGGTCGCGCGGCCTACAAGTGACAATTGAGCTGTCGATATTTTTTCGGCTTCCCTTTTCCACTCGCCCC